TTTTCTTATCCTGGCTTTTCTCACGTGTTGTTTTATTTTGAGAGACTTGATTATTACTATATAAGTGAAAAGTTGTATCATATACTTCACCTGCAAATCCCTCTTGCTAAATAAAAGATTAAAAATTATAGTCACCTCTTCACTACTCTAGTCAAAATGCCAATGTCTCAATTCTTTAGACACACGCAAAGATAACATTCATGAATCATTGGTTGATACCTAAAACTTTAAAAATAAATTGAATAACCAATTTAAAAGGCCGAATCACCCAGCTAAAATTCATCATATTAGTAAATGATAGCATATATCATATCCTACAAAGACTCGTTGTGTTTAAATATCTCTTACCATGTCTATATTACTTGATTTGAAAATGGTTCTCATAAAAAATCATCCTAACCATTTTCACAAGTAACTCCTACTCCCTCCATTCCACAATGTAGTGCTTCCTCTATCCCCGTGCTTCAACTTTGACCGTAAATTTAACTACAAAGACCGATTACGGCGGGAGCAAAAATTATATCAGTGAATTCATATTCGAAAGAAGTTTTCAATTATATAATTTTTTCTCTCACCGCAATTGGTCTCGTTGGTTAAATTTATGGTCAAAGTTGGACCTCGGGAAGCGCGGGCGCACTATATTTTGGAATGGAGGGAGTACTAAACAATCAAAAATCTTGACTTTTCCAAACTATCAAATTTCAGCAAAAACCACTACTTGGAGATCAACATTTTGTCGGTCATCCAACCGCATGAATTGAGCTAACACAACCATATCAGTGGTGCGAACTGAGCGTAACTCAGATGGTTAGTTTTCTTGTGGTGGAACTAGCCTATCAGGGTTCAAGTAATTGACTTGGTACTGGTGCTTGCATTTTCTGAATTTATTTTAGACTTTCCTACGATATTCATTCAATGTGAGGAGTCTTTCCCATGCGTTTGTATGTGTATACGTGAGTATTTGTGATTATATTGTGTTAATAGAACTATATTAGTTTTTTTTAACAAAACTATGTCAGTTGTATTTAAAAAGAATTATACTTCCTTCATAAAGAAATAGTATAAGAGCGTTTAGATCACTAGTCATATCAAGCGATGAAAAAAAAATGAATACAGGTGTCACAAAACAACAACGGTTACAGTGGTGTTATTACTGCGCCCGACGCTTAAGCACTTTGCTCTCTCACCACACAGGAGGCTTCCGGAAAGCCCTAGCCAGATCGACATGGCATCCCCGCCGCCGTCGCCGGAGCCGGACTGGGCCGGCCTCCCTGATGATGCCCTGCTTACAGTGTTCGAGCGCCTGGGCGCGCCGGAGGTGCTCATGGGCGCCGGGGTCGTGTGCCGCAACTGGCTCCGCGTCGCCACCGGCGAGCCCGACCTCTGGCGCCGTGTTGACCTGTCCGACTGCTTCGACCCCACCATCGACATGGTGGCCATGGCGTGCGCGGCCGTCGACCGCGCCGACGGCCGCCTCGAGCACTTCGCCGCCGATTGTTTCGTCACCGACGCGCTGCTCTTCTACATGGCCAAGAGGTAGCGACCCTTTCTGCTTCTCATTTGGGAGAGATTAGTCGCCGTGGTTTTGGAGACCTGTGCCCACTGTGATAATTTTTTGGTTTTAGGGTTTCGTTAATCCTGCTCGCTGTTCTGGATTTCTGATCCTAGTCTTTTTTGGCGGATAGTGATCCTGTTGTTAGGATTAGCAGGACTAGGTGGTCATATTTGTAGTGGGATGCTACTACAGTGTGACATCACAGTTTCAGAAGAATTGGGGAACGTTCTTAATTTTAGTTTTGGGACCCTAGTCTTAATTTCAGAAGAATAGGGGTAGTTCTCTTTTCTTTTTGAGAACGTTGAAAGAGCAGGGTGCTCATGCATTTCATCAAAAGAAACTAGGCCAAAAACCATACAACATCTGATGTGAAAGCCCCATCGCCGATCAATGCCACACCACAAACACACCAAGTTATAGTGCTGCTGAGTCAATATTCCACTGCTCACTCAGGGAGCCACACCGCTAGATAACCCGGATCCCCGCAGCCATAGCTGCACAGGATGACCACCAGCAATCCATGGCCACCGCACCAACATCCGGGGCCCTCCCCCCACCCGGTTGAGTAGACCGGGCAGACAAACACTGCCGCCCTCACGTCACAAGGTCACTGCCCCATAGAGCCGTCACTGCATTGCTTTCCAAGCCACCCCCTGGTGAAAAAACGACCATCTAGGACCGCTGATCTTGTGTCCACCGCCCCACCGACAAGAGAACCTCATGCGACCTCGCAAGCCCCTGCCGGTCCATATGGGTGTAATTTTGTGGTGGATGTGATTTATGACTTTGTGAGTTTGTGGGATAATGTGTGTTCTTATATTAGAATTACTATCCACTATCCAGTATATGCAAAAATCTAATTCTGATGCACCGCTAAAAAAATGGGTGAGATACAGAACCAAAAATTGGGATGATTGGTGCTGCACTGTGGCCTCAGCTGCACGACGCTCTTCAGTCTCAATGGCAGCACATCAGTGCTGTCATGAGGTCTCGGTTGTTTGATGCCTTTCGACTGCCGGTGGTGCTCCTTGGCACTGTGCTTGGTGTCAGCTTGTTTTTTCCGGCCCACCTAGTGGGTTTTGTGCCTGCGATGTGGTGAAGTCTTGCTCATCACCTGGCCTTGCTCTCGAGGTTGTAGAGGGGATGTTGCCGTTTGTGGTTATGATGCTGGTTGTGTCTTCATCGTGACTTGATTCCGTGATGCTCCTGGCGAAGTAGGTCTTTTGTCATTGTTTGTGCCACACCTTACATGCTGCGAGTTGTTGTCTCTCTGGGCGTCATTGCCGGGGGTTTCACTTGGCGTTGCCAACCTCCCCGTCCTTTCTTTTTTCTCGCTCTTCCTTTTACTTCTTGTGTTGGCCTCAGCCTGGGCACTTGTCGTCCACAAGTTTTTTTTATTGCGTTGTGCTTCCAGTGCCTCCCCCACCCCCCACCCCTGCCCTTGATGTGCCCTGTTGGAATATAGTTCAGGTGGGCTTAGGCTCTCAGCAGACCTTTCAAAAAAAAACAATGGACCCAAGTTTATGAGTTTACAGATAGCATGTTTTTGGTTTACTCATGTAAACTTTTATTACTGGACACAAAACCAATTTTGCCAATTCTGGTTATCAGTATCCATGATATCTTGTTCATTTTTGCGAGGAGGATAGCTAAGATTATGTTTTGTGCCTTGGTCTTCTTTTTCGTCTTAAGGGTGTTGAAGTATATGTGGATTGCTCAACCTTCTCCACCAGTTTGGAGTGCTGCTTGTTCTTCTGTGTGAAAGGGTACCTTGGATCTTGGAGATTCCTTACCATCTTGGTTCATGATGTGGTTTTCTGTTTTGGTTAATTGTTGGAAAGCTTTTTTATATGTACTACTCCCTCCGTCCCATAATGTAAGATGTTTTTTGACACTACACTAGTGTTAAAAAACGTCTTACATTATGGGACGGAGGGAGTATGTTTCATGGTTAACGTATGAAACATAAGAGACCAATAGCTATGATTCATATTAAATGTATATCCTGCTGCTCCATATTTATTTAGACATTATAGTTGTGTACCACCAACCAGAAGGGTTTTTCTTTTCATCAAATTGTGTACTAACTAACTATTCCAATTACCTTTTTTATGATCATCTAAGATTTTTTTCTCGGCTGCTGTGAGAGTTTTAACTTTTAAGGAATATGTATTTCCTCTGGTTCATGCTGTCAAAGCTATGGGAGTATCTGATTTTACCAATTAAATTTACGTAATAGCTTTAATTTCGAAAATTATTGTTGGATTGTTTGGGTAAGTGTTTGTTTTCATGATTGGTTAAGTTGAATGGTACCATGCTTGAAACAAAATTAATTGTTACTGACCTTGTATGCATTTCTCATGATGATATGTCAGTGCAACAAGGGTGATAAACTGATACTCCCTCCTTCCATCTATATAGGGCCTAATGCGTTTTTCGAGGTTAACTTTGACCAAATGTTAGAGCAATAATATATGACATGCAACTTACACAAAGCATACCATCAAATTCGTATGTGAAAGTAGATTTCAATGATATAATTTTCACATTATGCATGTCATGTACTATTAATCTTGTCAATAGTCAAAGACGGTCTTGAAAAAAGCATTAGGCCCTATATAGAAGGAAGGAGGGAGTACTCATAATTTTTAAACATGTATTATGCCATTATTTTGATTCACTTTTATGCAACTCATATGTTGGATTGTCAATCCACACAGGTATACAAGGAACTAAAACTTCGTTTGAGCTCCTTTTTTTCTGCGATAAAACTTTGTTGGAACTGATAACTTACTGGAAGTGGATGAGTTCAATAAGAATTTAGCATTATTTTCATGTTGCCATTTTCTCGTTTGACATGCTACCTTCTTTTTCTGTAGATATATAAATGTATGCAACTATTATTATTTTAACCTCTGTTACCACTATTGTTATTTTAACCTCTGTTACCACCATTTTCCCCCCTAAAGAGCGTACCTTCTGTTTTTTTAGTGAACCTATATGACACCTGACCGGGTGTTCTTGCTGTCAGGTTGTTGATCGATGCTTTTTTTTTTATCTAACTGAAGTACTACAATTTGCAGAACTAATGGGTTGAAAAGCCTTCGGCTAGTTAACTGCATGAAAGTCTCACACAAAGGCTTGGTTGCTCTGGGCAAGAGATCGCCCCATCTCGAGGAGCTTGAGCTTACTACCTGCTCCATCTATATTTCGATGAAGGCTGTTGGCCAAGCATTCCCACAGCTGAAGCGGCTGCGGCTGAACAACCGGTGGGTCAATGTTGAGTGTGAAGAACAGTTCGATAACCACCGTGCCCTCGACATCGCCAGCAACATGCCTGAGCTACGTCACCTTCAGCTCTTCGCCAATCGGCTCCACAACAGTGCACTTGCTGCCATACTTGACAACTGCTGCCACCTCGAGTCCCTAGACCTGCGCCAGTGCTTCAACATCCACATCGACGCAGAGCTGCGGGCAAAGTGTGCAAGGCTTAGAGACGTGAGGCTACCCAAGGACTCGACCAATGACTACGATCACGAGGCGTACATTGAGACGCTTGAGCTGAATTCCCTTCCACTTCTTTTTGCCCACGATGGTGTTTTTACACAGCAATACCCCTTCCATGGATCTGACCACAGTGATGAGGATGATCAGGAAGATCTGGACGTAGCCCTTGGTCATTTGGCTTTATGATAGGTGGTTACCATGGGCATGGGCTGATCGTCTATAGCAACTTAAAGTTCACAATGGTCATCTGGAGTTCTGTTTGTGGTACGAGTCGAACATGTCCGTGTGTGTATGTCTTCCATAATAAGAAGGCGCGCCGGATTTGGTTCCTTTTTGTGTTGGGAATTTTGCTAGCCTTGTCTTCTCCTTTGTAAACAGTATGTACCTTATATTTACTAAAGAACAATATGTACCTTATTACATACGGCGTATATTTTGAAGAAAGAAATGAAAGACCTCCAGCCTCTGCACCTGCACATAACCATCTTCTATTGCTAAGTTGCTTGTCTGGAGGATGAAAACGTGGCTTTCAGGACCAGAAAGACACTCGAGATTGCTCCAACAATACTATACATCTGTTTGAGCGTCAAGTAATTCCGGACGGTGGGAAGAAAATGTGTGGTATCATCTCTGACTGCATTTGTTTTTTTTTTTTGAGGATCAATGCCGCCCGCTTTATTACTTAAGCATAGCTAGGAATTTCGTCCGAAAGAGTCGCCAAAATACAGTCCGGCGGAACAGAAAACCAAACCTTACAAAGTTCATCCCCTAAACCTACTTTAGCTAGCTTATCCGCGGCACTATTGGCATCTCTGCCCACCCACGACACCTTGACCTCCATGAAATGTTGAAGCATTCCCTTTATCTCCTGAGTACAAGTCCCAAGCACTGAGAGATCCTTTGCCTGATTGTTAATTGCTGCCACCACCGCCATGTTATCCAGCTCAAGATGTAGCCGCTGCACCTGCACATTGCACTCCATAGTCACTTGAATAGCTCTTGGGCAAGCTAGAAGCTCCACCTTCTCCGGATACATGGCATTGCTGAAGACATGACAGGCAGCAGCTCTGAACGCCCCCATCGAATCCCTCAGAACAACACCAGCACCCCCCTTGTCCCGGCTTTGAGAGAACGTGCCGTCCGAGTTGGTTTTAAACCAGCCCTCCTCCGGTGGTTCCCACTTTGATCCCATTCTAGGCTGAGACTGGGCAGGAGGTTTTGCCATGAACTCTTTTCCACTCATCCAGCAGCAGAATCACCCGCTTCCCTATTTCGTGCGGATCCTCTATACGCTTGCCATCTCTTGCTTCGTTTCTAGCCAACCACAAAGCATACACTACTTGGATCATCATCGCCTCTCATCGTCTTGTGCCTGTGCAAACCACTCGAGGAGCCACCTTGCCACGGCGCCCTGGGAATCAAGCCAGCACGGTGGGATCGCCACCGCTATTCCCAACTCCGAACACAGTTTCTTCCAGACGAGGACTGAATGAGGACAGCCCCAAAATCTGACTGCATTTGTTGAACAAAATCCGCGCTTTGATTTTGCTGCACCCAGTCGTCAGAGACTCGTGTGCATACAACGTACAACTCAGATGTATAATCTCGTGGATAACCTACAAACAGTTGAAAACTCTAATTCTTCTAAAACCATTATTGAGATTTTGGATTTACAAACATAGATCGCATAATAACTCCACATGTATTTGAGCCTTAAGTCTAGGGTTCAACTCAAAGAACCCGTTGGCGAGCATATTAGAGATGTTTACGGGGGGTCTAGACGAGAAAAATCATGCGACAGCCCGTTCCCCTCCCGAAACCCGCCAGAGGCGACTCCATTGGCGATTTCCTACCCTCCTGTGGAAATCGTCGATGGCTTGTCCCTGTAACCCAGAAACCTACGAAAACCAACCTCGAGACCCCTCTATGCAACCTTCCCCAACCAGAGCACACCCTTTCACCCACCCTCCAGAGTCGTTTTAGGAAATCTCTGCGGGAGATCCAGAAACTAAAGCTCCGCCTCCTGTTCCTGAAGTTTCGAGTGAAGATCGTGAGTGGCAAACTATTGCCTTCCCCTAAGGAAGGAGACAAGGAGCCACCTGATCCAGGTCGTGATCCACCTTCAGAGACCCTTCCGTTTTCCGAATTAAAAGTCCATGATGAACTGGAGCGTATATGGGTTCCGTTTCAGTTTGAGGAGAAACTTTCGTTTCCATCTTCTGGGAGTTATTTGGAGAATAATGAGGGCATTTACAAGCCCATGGAAGATCTGCTATTTAGGAGGCTGCTGGTGCTGCGCTTTCCATCATTCTCCTTGGGAAGCCACACCAGCCTTTGCTCCACGCACTACAGGTGTTCGACCGATTGCCTGATGGCGACACCTGAAGCCCATCTGAAGATGACTTCCCTGGTGACTCCAGGGATGGTGTCCAAGTCCACGAGGGATGCGTCAGGGTCCCTGTTGGCCGCTGGGAGCTCAGCCGCTCAAGACGACGGCGAAGCCATTCGCCGGCCAGGTAAGGAGCTTGCCCTCTCTGCTGCGGATCCAGTGAAGAAAACCCTGATCATTAACATATCGGGGGCTCGCGAAGCGGTTCAGACGCGTTTTCTGGCTGTTGGTCTCTTCTTGTCTGTGCTGATGGTGAACCCCCGTCAGTTGATTGACCATATGAAAGGGGTCTGGAAGATCCATGGGGCATTGGGCGATCATCAGATGTCGGCAAAGGAAGGACGTAAATTCGTCCTAGAATTCTCAGAAGATGGTGATCGACAACATGTCACTAGGGGTGGCCCATGGCAGTACAAGGGAGACCCGTTCTTGGTTGTAGGCTTGGAATCTGGGGCTGACCCTGCTTCGGCTGTGTTCTCTCATGTTCCTATTTGGGTTCAGTTCCGGGGTATTCTTTTTACCTCCTTACAAAGGAACTTGCCCGAAATCTGGGAGAACAGGTTGGGAAGATGCTGCTGGTTGATCAGCACGCGAGGGGCAACATCTGCGACAAATTTCTGCGTGCGAGAGTGTTGCTCCCCTTGTACTCTTCTCTGCCAAAGGAGATCACCCTGGCTGACGAGATAACTAGAAAAGAGGTGATTGTTTTCCTGCGCTATGAAAGACTTCCAAACTTCTGTTTATTCTGCGGCTTCTTAGGGCATATGGAAGCCAGTTGTGATCTTCCTAATGATGAGAAAAAAACTGAGGTATTCCAAGGACATCAGTGTGCGTCCAGTGCACTTTGATGACCCCCGTGCCTGGTTCCTTGCCAATAAGATGGGGAAACCAAAGCCCTCGCAGGCTGCTACCTCTCCTTGGCGTGCCCCAAAGCCAAACTGCAGCTCTCAAATCAACACTCCAAGTGTGGATGTGGTGTTGAAGACGGTTGAGAAAGTGAGTGAAGATGTTGCTCGCCTTTCAGTGGGTAAGCTAATGGAAACCGATGCCCCCCGGAAGGGTTCATACAACAACATTGATGTGGGGGATGGATCTCCCAGTGATCCAGTTGGCGCCTCGGCTGTTGTGGGTCTGCTGAACGACATGGTGGATGCTTCTCGCACCGCTGATGCTGCCTTGGTTTCTGCACCTAACCCCAGCAACACAAAGAAGGAGGGAGACAAGGTGCAAATGCAGACCAATGTGTTGGGCCAAATGCATGGAAATGAGGCAGAAGACAAGAAGACGCCTGAGCCTGAAGAAATAACTTTACCGGCGGGGCTGGTCCCGGAGCTCCCTCCAAAGACTAGTGCTGGTGGAGGCTCCGTCGACGACACCCAGCGTGTTGTTGAGGATCTTGTTAATCTACAGGGGGTCGTTAAAGAGATGGACCATCCAAACACGGTCAAGAACAAAGTATATCTGAGAAAGAGAGGCCATAAGGGGGGCATGCATTCTGGTAAAGGAGGAGGCGTCGCTTCTGTTCTCGGCAAGCGGCTGGACAGAGTCAAGGATCCTCTATCTGTAGAACCTGAGAGCAATAGCGATGATGTAATCACAAGTAACAAAAAGCCTAGAGATGTGGGTTCTGTAGAGGTAGAGCACTATAAGGTTGAGAAGGGTGGTCGGGAAGCTGCCGGCCCAGGGGCTGCCGGTAAACTGACGGGCGCGAGTGATAGCGCCCGTCAGGAGCCATGAAAATCTTGGCCTGGAACTGCCGGGGACTGGGGCGGCCCTGGACAGTTCAGGAGCTGACACGCCTTGTGCGTGTTCACTGCCCGGAGATTGTGTTCCTCTCCGAAACTAGGCAAGGCAAGTATTTTGTGGAGGGGTTGGGGCGTAGAATTGGCTTCAGGCACAGTATCATTGTCTCTGTTAAAGGGAAGGGGGAGGCCTAGCCCTCTTCTGGGATGATTTCGTAGATGTCAAGTTAATAAACTTCGGAATCCATCATGTCGATGTAAAAGTTTCTGTTTCTGGTGAAATAAAATGGAGAGGAACCTTTGTTTATGGTGAGCCCAGGTCCCAGGACCGACATTGTATGTGGGATCTGTTAAGACGCATCAAATCAAACGCTAGTGAACCTTGGCTCATGATCGGTGATTTTAACGAGGCCATGTGGCAAAGCGAACATATCTCTAGAAAAAGAAGGAGTGAACCCCTGATGAAAGCTTTCAGGGAAGTTTTATCTGAATGTAATCTGCATGACCTTGGGTTTAAAGGAGTGGGCTGGATGTATAATAACAATCAATTAGGGGATAAAAATGTTCGAGTGCGGTTGGATAGAGCTGTTGCTTCGCCTGAATGGCAGGACATTTTCTCTGATGCGTGCATCAAACATCTTGTGTCACCGAGATCTGACCACTGTCCTCTTTTACTCTGCCTAGAGAAGTTGCAATTTAAGAGAAGGAAAAGGAAAAAAGGTCGCTACGAAGTGATGTGGGAAAGAGAGGAGGCCTTGGCTGGGATAATTGAGAATGCCTGGAACCATCATGCCCCTGTCCGAGACCTCAAGCACCTAACTGAGAAGGTAGACTGTATCATGGAAGTTCTTAAAGCCTGGAGCAACCAATCTATTGGTTCTATTACAAAAGAATTAGCCAAATGTAGAGGGAAACTAGCGGATCTGTTGAAGGACTATAACACACATGAGCAGGAAATAAAGATCTTATCAGCAAAAATGGATGAATTGTTATTGCGGGAAGAGCTTCTTTACCTTCAAAGGAGTAGAGTTACGTGGCTTCGTGAGGGCGACCAA